CTGATTCAATAAGTTGAACTGTTGAGGAAAAGAGCAGAAGACGTTAATAGTTCCCAAATTTTGTGGGTTGCACAGATAAAATGACTGAATTTGAGCATTTATTTAAATATGCCAGAGAAATAATTAGAGAAAATTATAACAGCAACACAATAAATGGCCTGAATCTGATATAGCGCCTTCTAGAATCCTAGAACCCCTTAAGGCACTTTACAACACAAATAGTCATTTGCTTACACACACACACACACACACAAACACACACACACACACACACACACACACACACACACACACACACACACACACACACACACACACACACACACACACACACACACACACACACACACACACACACACACACACACACACAATGTAGCCACAGTTGCCCCGGGGTGCACTGACAGAGGTGAGGCGGCCGAGCGTCTGGCACCACTGATCCCTCTGTCCACCACCAATGGCTAGACCTTTTATTGTGGCGGGATTGTTCAAATATTTCTTGAATGTCCTGTGGAAATGTTGAGAGTTTTTATTTTATTTGTTGTAGATGTCTCTTTGAACAACCTTAGTTTGGAGAAATGGAAATTGAATTCCAGAGCAGCTAGCATAAGTTGGGCCAAGAATAAATATTAAACATTTAAAAAATTGAAATTCAAGCTAATTCTACATTTTTAATCTTTATCCTAACATCATTTGTACAAAATATGATCATTCTGGCAGACACTTTATGATGTTAGCTTGCTCTGCTAGCATATAGTCAAATGTTAAAATCTAAATAACTGTGAAATGCTGGATTAGCTGTGAAAAAATGGTTTATAAAAAGCAATTGCATTGCAACTTTTTAATAATGAGATATTTTGAGGGAATATTTCCATCCCTATATGAAATTTAATTTGTAGCCATAAGCCTGGGGCACACTGGAGGCACCCGCGCCTTCATTTTAAATAGAAGCCATTATAGTTGATGAGAGTAGGTGCACAGGGAGCGCCGCATCCCAGAAGCGCCGCGCCGAGGCGCTGAAGATAGGCGCCAGTTCGATCTCAAGCGCCGCAGCTGGTTACAACATTGTGGAGTACTTTACAACAGACATCACGACGCGGAACGGCTTTACGGCACAAACCCAGCCGCAGTTGTGATAACTTTAAAGTACTATTGATCTTAAAATATTTAAATAAATAGCGTACTTACCCATTTTTAATGAATTTGAGTCTCACAAAACAAGATGGCAATTCTTACCACATATAAACAACAGAGTCACTTCCCGCTTCCTGTTCTCAAGTCCCACGTGATTTTGTGACTATTGCGCGACTTTCTAAGAAGCGCTCAGCGGCGTGGCGCATCCGGTGTGACCACTTGACTTCTCAAAAACGCGGGCATGACGTGGCTCGGCGCGTCTGCCTCCGGTGTGCCCCAGGCTTTACTCTCCAGAGTTAACAAAGACACTTTGTTTTTCTCCTAATCTGACATGTTAGCTTATGCTTAGCATAAACAATGCAAGTGAATGGTAACAGCTAGCGTTTAGTATTAAAAAGTCATGAAAATCATTCAATAATAATTTTAATTCTTCTTGGTGACCTCAATAATCAAACCTACTGCAAATGAAAATGATAAGTTACGTGAACAGAGACTTGGGACTACATTCCGACGAAGAACCAGCCACTGCAGGATGCAAGGACACTTAGTAATGGCCTCACAACGCATCGTTTACTGTCATTAGGGTGAAATGTAAATGTTATAAAGTAAACTACGAGGTGACAATGTCTGCCAGACATCACAATTATCGGTATTAATAATAGCTCAGTAACACCCAAGAAATTAGAGTAAATGCAACATTGCTCATGGTCATTTATGATATACTTTGTTCTGTATCTGTACAAAAAATGCTAGGGATTGCTTCATTATTCAGACATGTACAACATTTCACCCTTATGACAGTAATCAGCAGGTTTTTGCAAGATGCTAGCTGTTACCATTCACTTACATTGTTTATGCTAAGCTAATGCTAACAAATGTTGCCAAATTAAGAGAATGACTGCGCTGGTTATTAAATGCTTTTCACCACTTATCTAACTCTGAGGAATATGGCCGCAGTCTAAATTTCTCTTAGGGGTGTAACATCCCTTTGAGGCAACAGCGAAACATTTTCACCCTTTTCTGACTAAAGTCTGGCATTTCAACCTGACGTTATCCAAGTTATCCAAAGAGCTGTCAGGCTGCAACAGGTAAAATATGAATTGTTCCCAACCTTTTTCACAGAAACCCACTTGAACAGATCTGAACCATCTCTTCCAGCACCTCAGCAGCATTAGCAGCATTTAATGTCAGACAGGGAACAGAATATTCCAGGAGGAATCTCATGCATACCCCACCACCCAATCTACACTCTATAACCCATTCCCCACTTCCTCCTCATTTTTCACACATTTGTCTTGCTTCATGCATGTCCAGCCTCATTTTTTTTTACTTCCACACCTGTTGTGAGACATTCTTCCCTAAACTTAAACAAAACTTGACTCTCCTGAGCTCAAACATCTGGAAAAACTAACCAGAATGCCAGGGCCCCCATTCCCCAGGTAATTTATAGTGGGGTGCCAGTTGACAGGCTCTGTAAAGGGAGTGTGGAGACTGAATGAAGTTGACTGTGGTGAAACTTTAACTCCTTCTTCTAAAGTTTCAGGACTACTTTAATATTTAGTAGCTGTAGGGCAGATAGGAACAAAAGCATCATGGGAAATCCCTCAGAGCGGCAGCTCAGTTTGATTATTGCTGCATGGAAAAGTCAGTAAAGAAAATAATTACCTTTTCTTTTATTTATCACCTTCAGAAACGTAAAATCATGATGAATCTACTGGAAAATTCACAAGTAAACTCCTGGTTTCAATAAGCTTGCGGCTCCCCTTTTGGATCACACTGCAAAACTGTTGTTTAAGAATATAAAAAAGGCCAAATTTTTAGACATTTAATCTCATTTTTTGTATTGAAAGTAATCAAATATTCTCCAGAAAAAAGTATTACTCAAAATAAAAATAAATATTCTTAAATCCAAATGTTTTTGTTATGAGTATACAACTCTACCAGTGGGGTTAGCAAAGGTTGCCAGGTTAGAATTCCTAAAACTAGCAAAATAATCTAATTTTGGATTAATCGACTACCTAAATTAGCTATATAAAAATGTAATAATATTTACCTGATATGAACTTCCTGACACCCAAATGTGCATTCAGTGTGATTTTGGAGAAAAAACATATCTCTCTATTACAGATTAGTCGACTCATATACGGGAACAAAACAAATTTAATAAAAACATTTTTTTAATAAAAATGTCTAATGTCATAAAAAATATGAAAAATTATATTTACATGTATATACCGGTACTTAAAGTCAATATCAAGTGCCTCTAAATAATAACTAAAAGAGGCTAAAATGTTATAAAGCAAGAAGCCAATGTCCTCATATGTGGACTCGGGGTCGTGGGAGGTTAAGTAATGCTATTATTCCAAAAAAGAGTTTTTGTCTTTTTAATACTAAAAATAAGATATCTAAAAATGAGGCTTTTAAAATCTGCTTTATAAATCAGTTTTTGCCGTGTATCTATGAAAATAACCTCCAGGACGTTTCGAGTTTGTATAAAAACTAAGATCTTTTGGATGACCTCCAGCCTTCAAGTGTGGATTGGTGTTAACTTTATGATGCTTAGTGCATCATTTGTTCATAAAAATGACATTATTTTAGTTCATTTATGTTCTTAAACATGTCAGAGAAAACACAATTGAGTTTTAAACATAAATCATCAGATTATGTTTCATGATAATCCCATTCTACTTCATATTTATGCTTTTTTACCTACAAAGATAAACATATTTTGGTGGGCCAACCAAAAAAAAAAGAGGTCTGTTACTTATTATTTTATAAACCGTGAAAAGAGAACTATGCGTGCTTGCATTTGCATGTTTGTTAATCAGTGATGTCATGCAGATTACACATTTAAACAGATCCTGTTTCCTCTACTGTTCATTGTTTCACCTCCTGAGAAGGAAAAGCTAAAAAAATAAAAATAAATTCATAACACTTGTTGCTAACCTCAACAATAAGCTCACTGATAAAAGTTCCTCCTGCTGTTTAGCACCAAATAAACTAAAGCTCACTTTTTAGGATGGCACCCAAAACCTAAAACACACTTCTACACCCTTATTTTTTATTTAACTTGTAAAAAGATACAAAAACAGTCAAGAGGTTGAAACTCTGCTTCCTAATTTTTGATATTTCCTCTCTTACAGTTCGGCCTCTTGCTGCCTTGAGCTGACACACACGTGCACAGACTCTGCTGGGAAGTTTGCGAGCTAAAAATACTCCGTGTGTAGAGCCTGGTCTGTTTTAAGCGTGTGCACTCCCCTTTACCCCCATGAATCCCCGTATTGCATGAAAATAAAAAGTAGCTTGTTAATCTGAGGCGCGGTGACCGTGAAAGATCTGTCACTTAAGAAGTGTGTAAATTCATTTAAAAGGGGATTTTAGCAGATTTAAATCACAATTTTTATTTCAGAAAATGTGTTTAGAAGCTCAGCTAACCTGGTCTGTTTGACAAACTTGAACTTTTCTGACAGATTTCTTTCTTTTTAGCTTTTTTTTTTCAAACAAATTGGTTAATTTGTGTTGAAATGAATGTGTTTTGCTGCAAAAGACACACGAAAAATGAATAAAGGTGGCAGAATAAATTCCGAAGCATCATCCTGTCTGAATAAAAGACTTTATCTCCTTCTTTTTGCATTCGGACCATTTTTTCCTCTCCTTTATTTATAAGCACAGTGGTAATTAAATGCTCAAAAATGTCAGCTATATATTTCTGCCTGTTCCAGTCTGCTCCCTCTGGCTTTAAATAAACACAACCTGAGCTGAGCTTCAGGGACCGCCGTCTATCCCGCCATCTGCTCTCTGCTGTCTGCGGAGAACAGCACATCCAACTAAAACCACCTTTTTTTATCTCTCTGTGTGCCTCCCAGGGGTCCGCGCGGCAGAGGTGAGGACGAGGACGCGATCTGCCTCTTCACCATCTGTCCTTCAACGGATCAAGTGCCTCGGTGCCGGCCACCATCAGGCCCACTCAAGCGGGACGGGTGCCAAACAAAAGAAGTCTTCAGAAGACCTGTACCAATCAAATATTTGAGGACATTATATCTGATTTCTCCGGGACAGCCGTCGCTGAAGACATCAGCGTTGAGGAATTTATTTGGGCGACAGAAGAGAGAGAAGAAAACGTGGGGGAGGACAGGCCTGCTTTTTCTGCCGCCCTGTGGGCAGGGAGCATCTCATTTGGGAACGCTGTCAGACTTCCCTGTTCCCTGCCTGTTTGAATTCCTGTATAAATGCTGGATGGAGATATCAATTTGTCTGGGCCCAACAAAGAGACTGTGAGCTAACTATAAAAAAACATCGAAGACGAACTTAAACTTTGTGGTCGTCTGAATTACCGCTTCTCCGTCGTCCTTCAAGGAAGATTTAAGAGCTGTGAGAAGAGGAATGAAAGCGGTACTCCACTCTTAGAAACTTGTCCAAAGCCGACATCAGCTCTCCGTGGGAGACCGGAAGCTGTAACTTAGTCCAGAAGCACCAGTTTGGATGTCTTTCCCAGCCTGGTGAAGTAACATGAAACCATTAACACCCATTGGGTCCCCTTCACCCCTGAGGCTCCTCAACAAGGGTCCGGACTACCTGCGCAGGCAGATCGATGGAGGAGGACATGGCCGCTCCGTCAGCGCCGTGGAGAGACTGGAGGCCGATAAAGCCAAATATGTCAAGAGCCAGCAGGTGATCAACACCAAGCAAGAGCCGGTGCTCGTGCCTTGTGTGACGCCGCCACCGCATCCACGGCGAGCCGTTTCGGTTCCCGGTAGCCTGACTCCTCGTCTTCCTCCACGCCGTTCTTCCAACACCCCGTTCTCCACTCTCTCCTTCACCTCAAAGGATGAAAATGAGAACGACGACGCGAGAAAGGAGAACAGGCGGACTTCTGTTGATGTGGAGGCTCGCAACAGGAGCAACGTGAACAATGTGGTGCCTCTAAGTAGGCGGACACCTGGAATCAACAGCCTGGTGGCGCCGCACAGCGCCCCCGTGCTCAGGAGGAGCACAGGCAAACGCATGCTCAGGCCAGACTCTCTGGTCATTTACCGGCAAAAGAAAGAGTGCAAAAGCCCCAACGGCACTGTGGAGGGAGAAAACAACAACATGGAGGTGAAGGGCTACAGCTTCGTACGCCGGTTGTTCCAGGGATCCATGAGAGAGAAGAGCAGTGGGGGTGAGAGCAGAATCCAGAAGATGGTGATTGGTGAGGAGAAAGCACCGTTGCAGGATGGTGACTCACGGATGTCTTGGACCAATGACAAAGATGCTACAGATGGAGGACCAATGAGCAGAAGGTCTAGTAAAACTGACCAAGAACGAACCCCAGAGTCAATCCAAAACCCGGATTTTACCTGCACAGTGGAACAAACAAACAACAAGCTTACAAATGGCACTGTGGACAGAGTCAACTCAGGTATCACTGACGTTAAACACCAGGATGAGCGTGACCCGTGGAAGCGAGCGTCCCCGCCACCAACTAGAAGGCGGTTCGGTGAGCTACAGCGCTCCAAATCGGACTTGTTCCTGCGCTGCTCGGTAGCCCTATCGGAGCAGGAGCATTTCTTTGACTTTTGTGGGCTGGACATGGACATGATAGAGCGTCTGGGTCGGGATAATTTCCTTTCCGGCGCCAGCTCTATCGACACGCTCTCCCTGGCTCTCCGCAGCGTAGGTGGGGATGGCTGTGGGGGCTCGGAGCCCAGTGAGTTCTCCCGCCACACAGGAGACGGACTGTTTCAGGACGAACTGGCCGAGCAGCCTCCCACCGGAGTGTCGATCATCGAGAGAAACGCTCGTGTCATCAAGTGGCTTTATGGGTGTAAAAACGCTGCTCAGGAAGGACCCAAAGAGTCAACAGTTTAGTACTATGGGGAGGATTGATGTGCCATGGAGTGCTACTAGTTTGCTTTTTTTTTTGTTTGTTTTTACTGCAAACCAGTGGTTAAGTGCACGTTTACCAACACACAGCTGTTTAGTGGATTATGCAGATATAATTTATGGTTTTGCATGCCTACCATTTGCGTATTTTGAAAATCAAAAGTAAAGTGACCAAATTATTATCTTTTTTACGTTGTTGCTGCTAATCCACTGATGTTTTTCAACAGTATGTTGGTGTATCTCTTAATATCAAGATTACTGGTTCAATTTAGGCATCCTGCAGGAGAACTGGCAGTCATCCCATCGCTACTACGTTAAACAGATAACACTTGTCACACAAAATAAAAATAGACCACCCAGCAGATTTTATTTACATTTAAATTACATGCTGTAACCCAAATTACAGTAATCTAGTAAGACGGAGATGCACTTTAAAATAACCTTCACGCCATGCTTTTATTCTGAAGCAGACCAAGTTGAGTTAGTCAAGCTTTTATTTTTTAAAAGCTGCATCCTTGGTTGTTTTCACTAGCATTCCATGGCACGCAATCACCGTTAGTCTGTCTGATGTATTTATAAAGTCTGTGACTCGTGTTGGTATCTGTGAGGATGAGTGTGTGAATCAGACGTACTGCCCCTTTAATCCCTAGCTTCTGTTCTGTTTTTGACAGAGCTGAATCTGGACTGATCTGAAGCTTCCCCTCCCCATAACGAGGCACATTCTTCTATTTGGTGCGTTTGACACCAACACTCCTTTTAGACGACCAATTTAAAATCAAAACCACTAAGCTATGATCTTTGTGAACGGGGACTGTGTGAGTGTGAAGTGAACCACGAGTACCTCATTTGAGTCTGTTCCAGTTTAGTTTCAGTGTTGATGTTTTTTTATGTTTTTGACTCCTTAAACGCAGGCGTTGTGGGGCACTCCTACGGGCTTGTTAATGCACTGAACTGGACAGAAATATACAAAACAAATTAGGATACTTTACTGAGATTCATCTCATGTTGCATTTAACACTAAGCTGGATTCAGAGGAACATCCTGGACAACCAGGAGCCATGTACGGAAGAGCATTAGGGCCACTAAGAAGAAAAATAATTCTGACTTTAACTGTAGAAGTCTGAATTTAAAGCCGTAGTAGCAAAAGGACAAAACAATCTAGCTTTTAAACAAGGTCACAAAACTCTAACCTCTCCCGTTGGCTATCAACCCTAGGCCACGTCCGCCTGATACCAGAACCCGCATTGCCAGAGGATACGAGAAAGCGCTAAACACCTGTCGCCGTTTTTTAGGTCCAAACTTTGTTGTACACGACTTATGGTGTTTTTCTTTTTGGGACTCAGGTAGTTCGTCCTAAAGTTGAAGTGGTAGCAGCCGGCTGTTTCTCCTTCTCTGATGTTATTGAGTGGAAAACCTCTCATACCAGCGGTGTTCTGTTGCAAAATGCAAAAGCGTGTAATGAAAGAAGGACCCAGTTAAATGCGGAAGTGCCGTGATTCGGTGAGACAGAAACCCGGATGGTCCAATCGTTGGTTTTCAGACCAAGCCGCGTTATCGGGGCAGGATTTTAGACAAGTGCAGGAGGACAACTTTATAAATTTATTTTTTTTACTTCCACAGTATATTTATAGTTAAGCTATGTTAGATCGTCAAGAGGCATGAAAATTTTTTTAAGCTAGCTTGTTTTGCAGATCCGTTATTGTAGTTTTAAAGAGCAAGTCACCCCCAAATCAACTTTTTTTTGCTGATAAACTATATAAATGTGTGTCTAATTGTGCTGCAGACACGTGTGGTCACATAATTTGGACTGAGAAAGATTTATTTTTCCTTTTCAGTGGCCCTAATCCTCTTCCGTAGAATGCTGTTCAGTATTTCACTTTTTTTATCTGCTGTTGAAGGTTAGAATTATTTGTTTTCATGTCTGAAAAAAAGTGACACTTGTGAAAGTTCACAAAACGTGGATTGTTAATGTTCAACCCTGTGAGCGTAATACTGAACTTTAACCAGAACTCCACCCCAAGCTGTTAAATGTTAAAGGGAGTCACCGTCGTCTGGCAGTTTACAGATGTGTAACCTCCCCAGCTGACTCTTTAAAACATGGAGAGGAGGCTGAACCTGAACCTGTCCTCCTCTCACTGATAACCACAAATCCTACCTCACTTCACCCGTTTTTCATATTTTATCTCCATGAAAGGTCATTTCCGTTGCCCGGCCCTGCAGATGCCACTGAAGTGTGCAGAGCCGAGGTCATTTGGAGGTTGGATAGGAAGGCCTTGATGGCTGAGCCACAGTATGTTTATACTTGTCATAAATTAGCACACTATATCTGCAGCATTTGCCATTGTTTTTCGTGTCTGTTGTCATGGGCATGACACATTTCTGAAGCAACCTCCACTTGGACTTTTAAAAAATATTTTTAGGTGCATGTTTACCAAATGTCTTCATAACTTTTCATTTTTGTTGCGTATGAGTGATTTATATTCCAAAGAGATTTTGTGTATGATGTACACATCAAATAAAAACAAGTTGACATCTGTGTGAGTGTAACATTTGTATTTATTTATGTGTTTTTGATTTATTTTGTGTGCTAAATGTAGAAAAATGCAGTGTAGTGTAACACTTTCTCCCCCTTCATTATAATCCTCTCCCATCACCTCATCAAATCTCATTTTTCACATTATCTCAAGTGGCTAGGCGTTAATCCTTTTAGCATTCCCTGCATAACATGCTCCGAGGAACGCTGCAGCAGGTTGTGTTCATAGACAAGGAGACCTCTGTGAGGCGTGATGCTGTCTGGGAGTCGACCCTCCGCCCTGTCTGAAGCTTCCTACTGACTCTCTTTGTTTTGTCTCAGAGTTGGGGTTTGCTTTCAGGCGTTCCAGCTCACAGAAAACAGCAAAGCTCATTTATTTTAAACCAAAATTAGAGCTGAAGGTGATTCTTCATGGAGCTATATTATAATCATTTTATTTGTTTTCATGGTAAAATATGTCTTTAATTAGCATTTTCACATCTGTTTTTCTAATATTTTGCTAACTTGTACAGGAACCAAACACCAGAATGACCCAAACAGCAAAATTGTACGCAATGTCTTGTTTGTGTAGGATCACAGACACAGTGGCGCTCTCAAGAGGTAGCCATGGGGGCACATGGCCACTCCACTGGCCCCCACAGGGAAGACCTCTTAGTTTTAATAAATTATTTTCATGTTCACATAAACCATAAATTAATCCTCTTTGATAAAAATAAATAAATGTAAAACCCTTTAAAATATATAATCATTTATTAAATAAACAAATCATACACTTATATAGGTCACTGCTGCTCATTGTTTTCAAAACAATTTCATAAATATTGTTTTTGTGGATGTTTTTGAGAAGACAGAAACATGCATTACATTTTTCTAAAATTCTATAAAAAGAAACGGTAAATGTTGAAAAAAATTCAAATTAAGATATGAAATGTCTTTTGTTCTGAAATGTTTTTCTGTAATTTGAGGTAAATGTGTTTGATGCATTTTGTTTCTTAATGAAAATGAGCAACGGCGCATGCTGCAAAGCCTCAAGCTGACACTCCCAGAGTTAACATAAGGACAGATTTGACATGCCAACATTTTTTGCCCCCCCACCCCCACCCCACCCCACCCCCATATGAAGATGTTCTGGGTGTGCCACTGCACAGACATCCATTAAAATGTTTAAGACTTATTTAAAATCCTGCCACCAATGTGCTGTCAGTCAAATAGATAAATTGTATAACAATGTGCACGTAATAATATACATGCCTTTGCAGGTGTCATTGTGTTTAAGCTAATTAACTGACACAAATATTGTAAATCAGAAACTGCAGAGACAGATTACATGGAAACAAGGCTCAAGCTGGTTTTTTACTCAGTGCTTTGTGATTAATCCACGTGAAAGCAGAGAAACAGACAGATGTTTTGTTTAAACGAAATCAAATCCACTTTCCATCACCTGCAGTACATTTATGAAAAGCTATGAAGTTCATAAATGCAGAATATTAAGAAATAGTTGAGATATGAGTAAAATGTTTAAAAATAAGCTTCTTCATTTATGCAGCCGGGTTACACCTGCAGTCCATGATTGGTCCAGCTGTCTCCACTCTGTAATCAACCTCTTCACAGTTAAACAGACATTCCTTTCACCCTCTCATTGTCAGATCCTCTCGCTGTTTGCTGCTGTTGTGTTTTATGTTAGTTACAGCCATTCTTTTGTAAGAGTTGCTGCTGTTCCCTCCCCAGTTTTTCATTAGAAGTATTTCTTAATTAACATTTTGTGTCCAACTTGGTCCCATTTTATTTCAGATAAATGGGCTTAGTACACAGCCCTGTGGTATGCCGGCTATAGGATGAGGGCTAATGGTGAAAAATGAGTAAGAGTCAAATTTTCTGAAGTATTTCTGCTATTAACATTCAACAGATTCTGCCATTTGCTACCCACAGCGTGGCTTTATCGGACTTGCCCTTGACAGATTAGGAAAAAATGAATGAAAAACACAAGCTGAAGCTCCAAATTTTGCTAGCTTAAAAGCTTAAAATACAATCAGCATGTAATGTGGCTAAATGAAAATGCGTGTTTTGTTTCTTTCTTCCCCCACATGCTTCCCTTTCTCATACTGTCTTTCCCTGAGAGGGACACAACAATAGACCTCCTGTGTGGCTGCGTCTCAGTCCTTCGCTCTGACCCAGAGGGCCTGCTGGGACATCCTGTTAAGGGCTTCAAAGTACAAGCTTTAAACATATGGTGGTGTTTTTGAGTCAAGCCTTTCTTCCTCAGTCTGAAATAAACACGTAACAGCTGGAGGAGAACAATTCAGGTCTGATTATTACAGGGCTGACGGGGTTTGGATTTGTCTGGTGCTGAGCAAGCAGGGCTTTCATGGGGGGGGGGGGGGGGGGGGGGGCTGGTGTACCTGTTTATGACTTCAGTCTGCTTGCAAAACGATGTCTGGCTGTTTGAAAGAGGATGGTAAACTAGCAGGCGTTGACTACTCAAGGCTTTGATGCTGCATATGTGGGATTGCTTTTTACTCCCGTAAAACTACCTTTTATCCAAATCAGCCAAGTTGTGTCCAAACTATTAGCAAAGAATGTATTCCTCCAACTCTGGAGGAATATTTTTATTTTTAGTTTGTTATTTTTTAAATGCAAAAACTAATCTGTTTGGTTTTTTTTTTTTACTTATTTTTGAGACAATGGAAATTTTTATTAGTTTTTTCTGCAGTTCTAAATTTAGCATCTAACTGTATTTTCCACATGACTGTCTTTTCTGTGTGACTCTCACGCAGATAGAATCTGAGCTTCTTTCCAAGCAAACTCTCACACTGACTAGCTCGTCAGACTCCACAGTTCTCCAGTTGCAGCATGATTTTTCCACCTCGGTGCTCTGAGCAGTAATAATGTGTGTCAGAGTTAGCATGGCTTGTGAAGTGTGTCAAATCTGGCCTAGTTCTTCTGCGCCAGCAGCTTCAGAGGACTACACATGTCTGAGAGAAGCTTGGTTCATGACTCAGGGACAGAGACACAAAAGCTAGCACACAGGAGTCTGTTGAGAGCTGGACTTTCATCTGCAGCTTCAACAGTGGCACCACTGCATCAAGAAGAGCCACTAAATCTCCAAAGGATGTTGCTACTGTCATTTTTAGTTGCAGAGGTGATGTGATGTACTTTAGAGAAAGAAAATCTCTCAAGATGGATTTTGGAAATAATTGTGTTTCAACAATGTGCAATCAGTAGAAAGGTTCCAATTTTGGGCTCATATTAGACAAAAATATGAAAAAGACCATTAAGGTCATGAAATGTGAAAAAACAGACTTTATTCTGCAGGATTCATAAAATTATGGCTTCACAGACACACTGTTTGACTGGGCTGCCTGCAGATGTGCCTTTGCTGCAAATCTACGATGCTGGTCAAATCAAACATCTTCTCACAAATCTGCAGCAATCTGTATGTTTAATATAACCATTGCTGGATTGAGGAGGATTCTCACATGTTTCCAGCTCCAGGAAACCTAAAACACATGATTTATTCACCTCATAAGCTGCAGAAGCCCATTAGTATTCACTGTTTTAAATCAGGTGTGTTGGAGCAAAGAATCAGCTACAATATTGTAGCTTGGGCTAGCGGTGGCTCAGGATAGTTTGGGCCATTAGCAGTAATTTTGGCCAGCAATAGCAGTAGCTCAGGCTATTGTTAGCTGTAGTTCAGGCAAGCGTTAGCAATTGCCCAGGCTATAGTAGTGGCTCTGGCTAGCTTTAGCAAATGCTCAGGCTAGCATTAGAAGTTTCTCAGGCTAGCATGAGCAGTATAGCTCCTGCTAGTATTCTGCAGTTAGTATTACAGCGACCAGTGTTTGTATACATGTGGCAAGGTGGAGAAACGAGGGCCCGGGCGGGATTTGATCCCCAGACTCCTCGGGTGAGAATTACGCATGCTAACCAGTCAGCCAAAGGAATATTCCTGTGACCAAGTAGCCAGGGAGCATGATCAATCGGGACACAGTGACAGGATGCTCACCCTGTCACATACAGCTGTGTCTATGCTTATGACACGTTAATGCAGCCTTTCTCAGAGCTGTTTCTCTAGGGTCAACAACATTACCAACAGGGTTCGACTTAAGGCTTGATAGGCTCCCCCGAAAGCCCTCAAGGGACACAACAAGAGGAGCGCTAAACGCCTCCTCCACCCATCTCGCAAACACAGAACTAACACACCAACTTCTGTTTATCTGTCCCTGAATATTAGAACAGGAGCATGAGATCATGACTCAGCAGTTTTAGCTGATCCTGATTCAGGGGGACACATTTTCTGACAACCTGAGATAAAATCTTCTTTGCAAAGGGCAAAGGTTATCTTGACAGCAGTGGTTTCTGTTATGGATTTGGGTCCAAACACTACAGCTGGCTTACATCTGAAAACAAATGCTAACAGCTTGGTTCCTGCCTTTTTCCCGACATGCTACAAAGAGTTCTAAAAGACATTCAGCATTAAGTTATTGTTCTAAATGGGTGACGTTTAAACAAATGTTGGTGTTGGGGAACTTTGACGCATTTCTGTAACCAGAACCTGCTGAGTCCCTGAAGGTATTCCGTGTTATAAATCAGAGGAGTAGCTGCTTTTCTCTTCTCTCTCTGATGCGTGACCCCGAGCTACCCAGGGGGTCAGGGAGAAGAGCAGGGTCCCAGCCCCGTGGGAAACCTGACCAGATCTTCTTCAAATAACAGACTGACGTCAGAGAAACAGGAACAGCAGCAGGACTGCCTGAGGGCTGCAGCCAGACGGTTAAGGCGCAGGAAGCAAATTTATGTTTTTTTGAGCAGTCCTTTTTTGTCAGAGAACAGAGACTGAATGCAGGAGGGCTCACCTGAAAATCTATACCAGTTGCACTCAAAAATGTAAATGAATTGATACCTGTGACACTTTTTAAGAAATGTTTTTTATTCACTGCTGGATCACGTTGCGTAAATGCAAACAAAAATTGCAACAGTTGCATTTTAGTCGTCTCTCAATTTGGTCTCA